TATTTTCTTGTGATCAAACATATGTATACACGTAAAAGATATAATATGGAAAAAAAGCATAAAAAAAAAGTTTTAGATAAATGATTTTTTATATTTATTTATTTATTCATTTATAATACTAGAAAGTCGTGAAAATGATTAATAAATTATATAAAATTAAATTTGAATGAAATTAAACTCCTTTTCTCAACAAATTGCTTTTCTTAAGAGGAAATTAGTAATTTTACTACAAAACCACCTACAAAATATAAATTAACCTCTTTCACTAAGGATTGTTTTTTTTTTTTTTTAAAAAAATCAACTGTTCGATGGTTTCAAATTTAAAAAACCAAAAAAGCACCATTCACACATCCTTGTGTCACTTTCGGTCGTGAAGTCTTAATCCTCGCCTTTTTTTTTTTTTTTCTTTATTCACTCCAAAAATTCTAAACTAATAATTAATTTGTACAAATTTTATTTTAACGACATCACTAAATCACGAAATGATAATTCATAATTACGGTAGAAGAAAATGTTCAAAAAAAAAAACACGAAAAATGAAAACATTGCCCTTTTCTACACCGTGCCTTGCCACCATGTTCGATTTTTTTATAGAGTTCTAAATAAAAGTGTTTAAAATGTATTCCATAGTATTTTTTGATAAATATTTAAAAATAACATATATTATTTTATATACTAGTTCAATCTACAAACGTTGTTTTGTCATATAAATTATTTCTAGAGAATATTTTGCTAAAAAAAAATAACTAATTAAATATAGGCATGTAAGAATTAGGGTAAGGATAAGGATGTAAGGAAGAGATATGGAGTGCTATGAATGGTGACGAAATATAAAAATGAAAAAAACATCAAACATTTATTTTTTTAATAATTTTTTAAAATTGATCCATTAAAATTATATGTATCGCTAATTATGACAATATTAGTTAAAAACAATATCTATCCCTTAATGCAACAGAGTGTACAATATTTTTTGTTATTCCATCTTTCACCAACCCAAACCGGATTATGTTACCGGTATAATGGTATTATACCAATTAATATAGCATAATATACTCGTATGAAAATAAATGTCTCAAATGACTCTCTTCAACTAATTTATACATATATCGCAATAAGTTTCTTTTAACAGCTATATAGTAATATATAATATTATAGTATTATAATAAAACCCAAAAATAATATTTAATAATTTGAGAAAATATGCATAATAAATTTCATTTTTGAACTCATTATGTTGTTATTGAAATTTGAATATATTATTATATATTAATATAATATAATAAGTAATAATAATTTATTTGGCCAGAAACAGAGTTTGTAAAGTTTGAAGTATACATAATATGTATAAATTAAATTAAGTTTTAACAATACATAATAGAATATGTTGCCCAATTCACCACTGAGATAACCCTCGTATTGGTGAAATTGGAGTATTAACCTGTTTCGCCTTTATTTGTCCATCTGTCAGCACATAATATTAAATAATTAAAATTAAAAATTAAATTTTTAAAAAACTCATATCTCAGTAATTTATTTATGCTTTGAAATTTTAAGAATAAAAACATAAATAATAATGATTGTTACATCCAATATATTCCATTTTATAATGATGGTTTCGGTTCGGTTCTGGTTCTTTGATTGTGTAAAAATTTGGTTCTGATTCCTAATATTTTAAGGGTGCTTGGGTACCAGAACTGGTTCTTTTGGGTTTGATTCCAGCCCCTGCATTAAAGTATAATTTATATATAAATACATTATTATCAATACATCAATACATCAATCTTAGAGTAGTGAGGGTGTGGAGAGTGAACTCATAAAATAGTTTTAAAGGGGGCTTGGACTATTTGAAATATACTGTCCATAAATTTTGTTTGCAATGATTATAAAAAAAAATCGTAGTGTCAATTAAAAATTTTTTACGAGCGTCAAAATTTTCAATTTTTACGAGTCTAAATTCACATCCGCATTACACTTTATGACCGAGACCCACTCTACCCCTACTGTACGTCTATACAACAGAGCGAGTTCTTGATTTTTACTTTTGAGCACCCAAAGCACCAACTAGATTGTGTGATGAATTATTTTGTTGTTCATCTTTCAATATCCATACATTTTCTTCATTAAAGTACTTACAATATATCTAAGTAGACATAAAATACTATTAAATTTGATAACACATAATCTGAAAACAAAAATTGTCCTAATACATAAAAAGTACGTTATAATACCAGATGACATAAAAATATATACATCAGGTTCAATATTTATATCACGAATAAAAGTTTAAAAAAAAAATTCTACATAAAAATAAATTGGGAGGGCTTCGCTGCAGTGTGAATAAACTTAATGTAACACACTGAATATAATATACAATACAAAACTAAGCTGTGCGATACATATAGATATCATGAATTTGCTTCCTTGGCAAATTGTATCCTTTTCAACGTATACTTAATAAAATATTATATTAAATATGGATTTTTTCCGTTATTTATACTAATCGCGTGCGGGATAAATAATAGAAGTTGTCTAAAAAAGAAAAATATAAGAAAATATTAAGAATAAAATTGTTTATTAAAAAATTATCATAACTGGCTAAATAAAAAAAAGTGAAACTATGAATACGTGTTTATTTGCCTATAAAGGCTGGTTATTGATATTTTAAATTCATTATACCAGTATCTTCCGTGAAATACATTCTATTGTATTACAAATAGTATTCTTTGTTCTCATTGTTTAAACGTTAAATCCTATCTTAACGGCCACATATATCAGGACAACGTACGGTTTGTTTCTTTACGAAGAAAAGCCAGAAAATATTGAAAAATATTCGCAAAAGCTTTGGGATTTACAAGAAGTATACTATAATGGACAGAGTTAAGGCAGAATGTTACCAGAACAACTTAAGACGCACAGGCCCATCAGTTCGATCCACTAATCGAAAGTTTAATGACGACCAGCATTTAGGGTCGTCAGAAAACCACCATTCGAGCGGAGGGTAAATATTTGATAAATAATTACATACATGATCGATTGACTGTGAAACAATAGGTTTGTCATAATAATGACGACTTTTGTTTAGAAACAACAAAGCACGGTCAAAACGACCTATTGGCAGACAATCCCAGCCCGGTAGTGGTGATACTACCAGACCATTGCCTTGTCCGCAGTCCTTGTGGCGTGGCGTGCCGAACAGAGTCCTAATCGTTTACGGATTGGAAAGAATGAACGTCAATTGCGATAAGGTTTTTAATTTGTTTTGTATTTACGGAAATGTTACAGCAGTGAAGATTTTGAACGGAAACCAAGTACTCGTCGAACTGCAGGACGTCGAGGCTGCTAAGAGATGTGTGTCCAAGTTGAACTTGATTCGGTTGGATAAAACTACAAATCTAAAAGTCAAGTGAGTGTCGTAAATTCCTACTGGGATTTCTTTACGTCGGGTTATGATTGAATGGCGGGGTAAGGGTAGGTTTCTCTTGATCCCCAATAAGATTATGGATTACGATAAACATTTGAGAAAGTGCGTATTACGCGAGTATATTGCAAGAACCATAATCATCCCGAATCACCTCAAACAAAAGGTGGCGTAAATATGCTTATAAACAAAAATCATAGCATATAGGAAAATCATAAAATCATAGAACATCGCATCATGTCTGTCGTCGCTGTTTTAGGTATTCGAAACATTCCTATATTAATGATCATGGAACGTCGAGAACCTTATCAGACGGTACGCCAGCTAAGAAAATTTACCTGAAAAGCAAGTTCAACCGATTTGTCGAAAAAGAGATGAAATACGCAGATCAACGACGTATCGCGACCCCGTCAAAAGTAAGTGAAAACGCTCGCGTATTAAAACGTGTTTACATTGACGTACGGACAACGAGTTTACGTAATTCAATAGTTGAACGACTGACAATTAATTATCTTCCCAATAGATTTTACATTTTTATAATGCACCGTTGGATATTTGCGCTAAAAAGATGCATAAAGTGGTGACGGACGCCCTTGGTTCCATGGACGCAATAAGATCCATAACCATTTGTGAGTCATTCGTCGCCAATGAATTCGTTTATAATTGAGGTCCTAATTATATTGATTTTTTTATTTTAGTGCCTAAGAAACGTCCAGATGCCAAATGTTCAACTGGCCTGATTGAAATGAAAAGCAACGAATTGGCGGTAAAAACGATTATTTTGTTGAATCACATGCCACTTGAATCATCAAGTATGTTTTATTTATGCTATCATTTAAGTTATAGTAATATTTTTACTAATAGGACCGGATTTTGAGTATTATAATAATTATATTCCCCTATCCCTGTGGTATACTAGAACCCAGGACAGTTTTTGAGTTCAATGCATGATCAATATGACTCGCATGTGTGTACATAAATTATCTTCTACTTATAGAGTCCAGATTCCCATTTTTGACGAAACTGAGTTTCTCGAAATGGTCTGATATCCGGCAGCAGTCAACGGGCTCGTCCAAACTGCTACTGAGCATTGCGCCCTGCATTCGGAGGTCGTTTTATAATTCCGAACATGCGTCGTCCACGGTGGAGTTGGCGGTCGCGCGTACAACCCAGCAGACAACCAGTCCCGGTGGAATCTCGTGGACTTTGTGGGAAATAAGAGATGTTGTGACGGAGGCCATAGACCGCGACACAGGAAATCTCGTACAACTAACGGAAACGTTTCAGGACCAGTTGCGCGTGACACACTGCGATAACCCCGCAACATAGTTGTAAACTTTGCTTTCTGTTGGAAGATTTTACATTTGCCTCGTTCGGGCTTTATTTAAATAATATTCCATTAAGAACACACCATCAACTCCGTGTAAAAAAAAAAACAAAAAAAATGAAAAAAAAAATGCTATGAAACGTGTGATATAAGGTGGAATCTAAGTAAATAGTCTAACGTTTAAAATTTATCTATCAGTTAATTAATTCAAATTTTATAAAAATTGGTTATTTATATTAATTTATAATATAAACCATTTTAACTAAAAGTAATTCAAATTAAGTTTATTTGGCCGGAAACAATTTTATTTATTTTAATGGGTCCTGCATTGTCTATTACAAAAACTTTTCTAGACATTTCTTAGATTGAATCTTCCAGCCAAGTAAACTAAATTTGGATCAGTTTTAATTAAAATAATTAATATTCATATTATAAATTAATAAAAAAAATCAATTTTATTAAATTTGAATTAATTAACCGATAGATACATTTTACACGTTAAACTATTTACTTAGATTCCACCTTTCATCAAACATTTTATAGCATTTTTTATTTATTTTTTTTATTATTTACTTATCGTTTTTTTACACGGAGATGTCGGAATGTTTTTTTTTGGGATATCATTATTTCTTATAAATTATCATATTTAATAATATACTAGTACATTATTATACGTAATATTTTTTATTTTTTTTCCATTATTATTATGCAAACGTTTTTAACACGACGAGGCCACCGTTCAAACTGTTCAGATGTATCGTTACATCTTGCCCATTTATTTTGATGTTTTATTATTGATGTATAATGGGCTATAATGGGCTTCAGTCATAGGTTGAACATGATGGCAAATGATCGAGCCTAAAGTATAACATTTACTATCAACCGTAATTTGTTATGGTGGCTAATGCATTTATATGAAGATTTGTAATTTTTGTATTCACACACTCCAAAGTTGAATTTGAAAGTACAAATATTCATGAGTATTGAGTATTTTTGTTGTCTGTGTACGGTTTGAAGTAGTATCAGAAGCACTACAAGTTATATTTTCTATTGTAACTTCTTTAGACAGGTCATTCAACATGGAATGCATTGTGACAATTTTTGTGTGTTTTCGGTACATTAAATTGAATTATATAATTATTTAAAAATATATACTCTACTCTATTTACACCTAGAGTATTTTAATATCGTTTGAAGTTGATGAAGCAAAGAATTGTGTAAGGGTTCGTATAAAGATATGAGTGCACTAATAAACTCAGAAGCATCTTGCTGTTCTATGTTAACGTAAGGAAGACCAACCTGATTTCTTATACTAGATACACATAGTTGACATACCTGTGATGTATATAAGTATGCAAGTTATACATTGTCTTCTAAAGAATTAATCAAGATATTTAGTATGTGAGTACAATTGAAAATTAGTTGCAAAGATGCATTTGCATAATAAGAAACCGCATCCAAATTTAAAAACCCTAAAATATTTAAATTGGTAATAGGTGTTGGAATATTTGAATGTTATAGACCTGAATATTTAATGTTTTTTTT